AGAATTAGAGACAGGGTTTAGGATGAAGCACCCGGATCGGTTTTCTGTCCAGTGGCTAGGGATCAGTTGAGCCATCAGGCTGGCGCTAAAGCTGGCTTCGACTCAGTCAACCTATCGAGTACTGCCTCTGAGACAAGCAGGTGGCAATAAACCGGCCAGTCTTTGAGAAGCAAAGGGATAAGGGACCTGTGTATGTCCAATACCTGGTATAAAATGTTTCAACGAACGCCGGGAGAGGAGGATGTTGGGCCGTAGGATCTATATCGCGTCCAGCATGCATGGGACGTTTACAGCTTGTCTGGGATTCATATTTAGCGTATGTACTTTGACGATCAGAAATGATCATTCTGAAGGAATCAAGAGGAAATAAAGCGCACGACTTTCGACGGCATACAACCCTTGTCAGATGATCGACACCGCACAGTCGATATACCAGCGTCGATTACTTGGCTGAGTGAGGAATCTATTGTGAATAGCCTCTTCTATCCTGGCGGCGTGTGCAGTTAGGAATCCGACATTCGAATATTGAACATAAAAATCTTTCGTAATTGTCTTCTAGAATGATTGATCGTTGCATGGCACATACATAGCACATGGGTTAGAAGTCAAATCGCATCCCTCTTTTCCCTGGAAGCATTAGTCGCTTGTCGAACGACAATGATGACTCGGGCATCCGTTACTTTCCTTTCGTGCCCGAAGCACAAACCATATCTCCAAGCCTCTAATATCAGTTGGCAAGACCTGTTTGCATCCCTCATGTTCAAGCCCTGCTGCCTCAGGCTTTGCCACAGTGACAATCCCCGCTGGATTAGTTTCCCGTGATATGAAACGATGCCATGCTACCACATGATTTGAAAGCCATCTCATTCACTGATAGCCCGGTCGGCTGCGACCACTCCACGCACCCCTCCGTTCCTGGCGTCAACATGCTTCCTGCAGGACGGTGCTGTTGAGACCTCAAAGAATGCTATCGCATCGCTCGTCATCCAAAAGATGAAGCAGTTCGATGTGAATCATCATTAGCGGTAAGGTGTGAACCACAACAGTGGAGGAAAAAGGCAGCATATTCACCTGTCCATAGAAGAAATGGTGCTTGGTATAAAGGCAAAGAAGGTATAGAGAGATTCGTCTTCTCCTTCATTAAAATAACGAAGCAACCGGAGCGCACCGAAGAAAGATCTTAGCCTATCCCGTCTCATTCGCCGAGCAAAAGCGAGAACATGTCGGACAAGAGAACCCCCATATACTACCACGACCCCACAAACCCTCCATGGCAGGACCCCGGCCGTGGAAAAGGGACCTTGAGCCACGGGGGCCATGGCGGGGAAAAAACACACGGCAGCGGCAGCGGTGGTTTCCGTGGCTACGGAGGGGGCAACGGTGGCGGCGGTGGCGGCCAACAGAACAGTGGCAGCAAAAGTGGGAAGAGTTAGTTACTGGTATTCATTCAATCAGTGCAAAAAGTATAAGGAAGCCAGCCCATAGACTCCTAGGAAAATAAAAGCCATACGTCGACTGTGTAGTTAGTTGTGCTTCACTGTTCTGTATTCGAATATGTTCTTATTGTAAAGAGCATATTGAACCGATGGTCAGGCAACGAGGCCTCCTCCTGGTCACCTAGCCCCTTCTGGTGTGAGAACTCGAGAAAGAGCTCCGACTAGAAGACTCGAGCATGATTACAAAACGGACCAGAGTCAGTCCTTCCCAATATGATCCATAGCCCGATATCAGAGCGTAAAAGATCCCCAAAGCTCTAACATGTACATTGAGAGCCAACATGTATATCAGCAGGCCAGAATGGCGTCGCCAACGCCCAGACTAACTCGTGCTGCCGCCGTCAGCCCCGTGCTTCCGAGGGCGGGCACCGCTTGAACCCAAGAAGGCGGCGGGCCGTCTAGCCTCCCGCGCTTACGGCTGTCTTCCGCGCCGAACCGGGTTCCGCCATCCGCATCGCCGGGTGGTCCTCGTGCGCCGCCGTCGTTTCTCGATCCTTGCCCAGGTTATCCACCGGGCCCGTAAATGATGCATGATTCTCTGCCGCCAGTCAAAAAGCAAGAAAGCAACAGGAGCGCGGAGCCCTGACGTGTTCCGTATACTGTTTCACTGCTCGCGCGCAGCCGACGTGTTCATGTCAGTGCGCCGATATAGGCAGAGCGGCCGACCCAAGGGCTTCCGGCGATTATACGAGGGCGAGAGCGCCCGGGACAATGTTAATCAAAACGTGGAAAACTTTATATTGTCTTTAGCCCCAAGATATTTACTCATGGGCACACGCTCCTGAGGCGTCTAGCTTTATAGACAGTCGACATCGACTCGGGAAGAAAAGCCTCTCTCTGTCCCGCAACCAAAAACTCGATCCAATTTGTACGCCTGAACTCCCGTCTCTGATAGTCCTTTGTATTTGAGATCAAACCATTTTCGGCCCAGTTTGGCCTACTCCGATGCCTTCGAGTGCCCCTCCGGCCCCAAGCTGACCTTTCCGTATTGTGGGAAGAAAAACAGGAGTTGTAAGAAAAGAACAAAGCCCAGCGGCCCCTGTATACAGAAACTCCCTAGAGTCCATGTCTGGTCTATTCGTGGTTCTGTTTTCAGCGCATAAAGCTTGCCCTTTGGGTGCCATTGGCCGAATAACGTGAAGAGATGGGAGGCAACGAATGGAAAAGAAAAAAGAAAAAATCGGACGTGGCCCCTAGAGCTTCATTGTCTATGAATGGACGTGCCGTGGCAATGGTTTCGTTGGGTATACGCGACTGTCTTCGCTTTCTTTGCTATGCTATGCTGGCGCGGTGTAGATTGCCGATATAGAGCAAGAGTGGTGTGCGTTTTCGGCGTCGTAGGTGTTGAGTTAGGTTATGGGTATAGTTGCGGTTTGGCGAGCGTGGCATCGGCCGGGCATGGTTCGGCGGTTGCATTGGATCGCGGCGGAGCCGGGAGGCGGGCGTATATATCCCAGGCACTGGGAACAATATCCGGGTGCGAAGCGACCGAGGCAATCATTGTAATAGGTCCTTGACGTTTTCCTTGACGTTTAACGCCCATTTCAGCCTCGCCAAAGTCGACCTTGTCTCTTCGAGCAGCCTTTCTTGCTCGGTGTCCCTCGCGGCCGCACCCGCTTTAATGTCCTTGAGCAGGAATTCCTGGTGCGCCTTATAAGCCTCGAAATTCTTCTCGATCTCGTCTTTCTGCCGCCGAAGCTCTTTGATGTTGCCGTCCTGCTGGTCGCACAGGTCCCGCAGCGTGGCGATCTTTTCGTCGTCGCGGCGGCGCTCCTCGACGAGCCCGGCAATCTCGTCCCGCAACTTCAGGTGCGCGCGCTTCACCTCGTCGCCCTGGTCCTTCCAGTGAGAACTGATGGCGTTGTAGCGGCCCTCCATGAGAGCGGCGTAGGCATTTGCGTCTTCAACTTGCTTAGTGGTGGTAGCACGCATCTTCTCCATCTCATCGCGCCACGAGCGCTCTCTCTCCTGGGCGTCGGCCGTGCGTTTCTTCTCGAGCTCGACGTTGGCGTTGAGAGTCTCGACCTGACGCTCCTTGCGGCTGAGGAGGGTCTTGGTGACGCTCGCCTCGAGAAGGCGGCTCTCGTAGTCGCTGATGAGGCGCTCCATCTTGTCCTCGACAAGCTTGGCCGCCTGCTTGGCCTCCTCGGCGCGTAACCGCTCAATCTGGATGTCGCGCTTGAGGGACTCGTTGTCGCTGACGAGCTTGTTGATGACCCGTCCCGTCTTGCCTAGCCCCGCCTTGCCGATGGTCGAGTCCCATCCCGAACCCTGGGTGTCGGGCGTCACGCCGACGACGTTCTCGTCGTCGTCTGCAATGGGCGGCGTTTCTTCTCGTACCTTCATGGCGGTGGAGTCACCGCTGTTCCAGTCGTGTTTTAACTTGACGCCGGGCGTCCTAGTTTGGTGATTCGATGACATGCTGGCGGCGCTGACGTTACTGTTTACGGAGCTTGAGAAGGCGGAATTATGAGAGTGGGTGTCGGAGCTTGTGTCGCTCGCGGCTTCGAAGCTGGATACTGTTCGGATGGTCTGGACCATCTTAGGGGTGCCTCCGAGAGACGAGGAAGGGCTGCTCGTCGTCGACTGCTTTCCGTCGAGGCGAGTGTTTACGGTGCTCTTGCGGCCGGTGCGAAGGGCGATTATGGCGGGTGGTGAGAGGGTACGGCTGCTCGAGGTACCACTTGACGAGGGCGCCGTCGCTTGGGAGGAGGCTTTTGCGGGGAGTCGTGTTTTGTCCTGCTTGTTGAGTTTTTGCAGTCGATTAGGCATGTCTCTGAGTCATCTCCTCTGCAGGATGCTCGGCAGGATGCTCGGCAGTATAAAATGTGTTTGGCCTCTCGTCCAGATAGGCTAGTCGGCACGTCGGTAGGTGGTCGTGGCACGGCTAAGGCAGAGTTCGATTGGTGTTTCAGTGATGGTGGTGGCGGCGGCGGCGGTGGTGGGAGCGGCAAAGGAGAACTGGAGGGGGCGCGTTCGTCTTCGGAATCGGGGGATGCTTGTATCTTCCCCGGCGTAATCAGATGCGGCTGGCTCGTCTGAGCCTGAGGCGGGATGCGGCTTGGGTGGATTTTTGGGGAAAGCGTGAGGAAGAGGGGGTTGGAATGTGCGGATGTCCCGGTCCAGGTGTAGCGTAAGGTCGGAGATTCCGGCACGCAATGCAACAAAAAGGGTCGGGAATCCGGAATCCCTCTGCAGTCCTTCTCCCTCTGGGTATTCGTAGGTAAGGTACGCAAAGGGGAAGTAAGTGGAGAGAGAGAAACCACTGGGTCCGGTCAATGCGAAAGTACAGGGTCGTGCCGAACTACGTCAGTCTTCTTATTCTCCATCTAACGCGAGGTGGGAGAATAAAGGAGGGTTGAGCGACGAAGGGGAAGGCCTAGCTACATAAACCAGGAAAGGCGGCCGAGACAAGCATAACGTAGTAGTAGATCAGAACGCGCTCTAGTGTTTGTCTGGGGCCGGTCAAAGTGGTCGTTTTTTTTCCTTTCGCCTGCGGCTCACCCACCCCAGGTTTTTCCCTCTCTCTCATTTGCTGTGGACTGACTGATTGCATGGGACGGACTGTTCTCAGTTAGATGTCTGGTTCAGCCGGAATTCGGTTGCTTTCCCATGTCTGGTCTGCGCACAGCCCAGCCCCACAGGTACAGGGGCAAGGCAGCATCAACATCAACATCAACACCAATACCAACACCATTGAGACCCTTCTGCAAAGCAAACAAAACGCAGTGCCGCATCAAGGCCGCATCGGGACACACGCACACCATCCCTTTGTGAATGCTACAGTGGGCAAATAGCGGCACGGTGGGACGGGGGTTGCTGCAGACAGAGCAGCAACCTTGGCTGACCACTCCACGCTGTTCCCCAGCAACGAAGATCGCTGCTGCATCCCCCATCTCCCTCCCGGTGCTGTGCCATAACACCACCCTGCATAAGACAGACGCGTTGGGCGAGGCGTAGGTAGCAAGGCAATGAACGGGGAAAGGGACGCGGAAGTAGGTAAGCTGACATTTTCGCGAAACGAATGCGCATAATGTCGAATTTCCTCTCTGTTTGAAGTGCATATACCCGCCCCGCCCCTCTTTCTTCGAGATAAGTATAGCGCCCCAAACTATTAATGTGTTGTTGCATAATCAAAGCAAATCGCAGAATAGAAAGTTATACAAATCATCATCAACTCAGCCTCTCCTCCCGTCCCATCTAATTCGTCCCAAGTGCCAAACCCTTCTCACTACCCGCGACCCCCTGGCGCAGATCCAATCTCAAGGTCTGTCCCCCTTTCACGTCACGATCCTGGGCCCCCTTTATCTCACCACTATGTACACGTATAACCCGGCAAGCGGGGCCATCACGTCAATGACAACCCAGCTGAACAACCACAATATACCGTAAGGTATAACCGAGAGTTTTGCACTGATTAGTATCTGGCGAAGGAGCCTGTGCCTTAGAATAAATCTCGTCCTGGTAGCTCAAAGGATTGTCCCAACCATCCACACAGTGACGTGAGGGTTGCCACAAAGGGGTTTTACAGCAACAGACCCGCATATACATCTATGCCCCTCTTCCATTCTGAAAACCCCCCAGGCGTGCTACAACAAACTGAAATGAAAAGGGAACATGAGGAAAAAAGGAAGGAAAGAAGGAAAGAAAAAGAACGGAAAGGAAAGGGAAAAAAAAGAAGAAAAAAAGAAAAAGAAATTAAAGAAAAAAAGCAAGGCGAAAAGAAAACACCTAAAAAAAACCGTCTATTCTCGGAACCCCATGTCAAAGGCCACCCCATTGCATCGCCGCTCATCTGTCAGAAAAGGGGAGAGTTGGGGGGTGGGGGAGGGGGTGTGTGTTGGGGAGTTGAGAACATCTCTAGGCTTTCGGTCTGCATCAATCTACGCCACCTGGAGACCCGAACCAGGATGTCCTCGAGCACCTTCAAGAGTTCGTAGAGCTCAGGGCAGCTTTGCCCTGGCCTAGATTTGTACAATTCCATCCCCAACCAGCCCGGAACACGTCCCCTATGGTCCATCACCGGGTCCCTTCCCGCCCGCCGCATAAACCTGCCAACGCTTTGTATGTCCCCCAGTTGGATATCCGTCAACGTCCAGTATCCTCGGCGCCCAGACCAAAACGAGCCCCGGGACACGGTGCACATCCCGCTCCGGCAAGGCCCGTGACATACCGCGCCAAGACTCCAGCTAAGGAGAAGAAGAAAATCAAAGAACAAAACAGCACTCACCCAGGCAAGAAGCCGGAGCATCGAGGCCACCACCGAAGACACCGACACAAAACGCCAGACCACCTCTCCACCAAAACCCCGTTTATGTATTGGATCTGAGCATACCCAACCGTTGCCGCGTTGCAACAATGGTTGACGGAAAAAAAAGAAAAAAAAAAGGAAAGAGAACAAGACATCAACGATGGCATAGGAGGAGACCCAAAAAAAAAAGGGTTTGCGTACATTTGAAACGCCGCCGCTTTCCCTAAACTTCATTTTACTGACTTTTGTTTGCCAGGCCTGTTTCCCAACCAGGCCGTCGCACCCCTAAGTTGTATGTATACATGCCGGTCCATCCTTTACACTTCCCACGGTCTGAACGGGGAGGCCTATGCCATCCCGAGGCTTCTGCGATCCACTTTGTTCTTTCCTCCCAGTTCGCCTTCTTCCGTGTTCTGCCTGGATGCTGTCTGTCGATGCTTGTGGTTGTCTCATCATTCCAACTCCAGTTTGTTAGGGTATGCTAGTCGGACTCCGTGACCATCAAAACTCTGCGGACCCCGTCGCCTCCAAAGGGAGATGCTGTGGCGTGGTCCTCCCATCCCATGTGTTAATGATACTTTTCTCGGTAACCAAATATGCGACACTGCGAGAATGCGTTGTGCTCGTCCGTGTTACGTTGTCCAGTGGCCGCATACCGGCGACCTGCGCAACGGCCTCAATCACGTTGAGATTGCCGTCGCGTTGTTCGCCGCGGGGTTACCTACGCCCTCCGCTGCTGCTTTGGCCGATTCCAACCATGCCGGTCGGAATTTGACCAAGTACTTGGCCGCCAGAGGTCGCGCGTCCTCGTCTACAACGATCAGTTAGCATGAGGTCATAAAACACTCAGGCGACGAGAAACCTACATTCTGTCCAGATGTCCTGAACCGTGTCCAAAGCAAGCTCCTTGGCCGGCGGTCTCATCATGACCAGATACAGCAGACTCGTCAGAGCCAGCGGCACCACCAGGGGATCGCGACACATGAGCTTGACGCGCGAGAGGATGGCAGGACTAAGCTCAGGGACCTCGCCTAAGAACCGGGTGAGGACCTTATCCTGGGCATTGAGGTATTGCGAGAAGCCGTCGATCAGCTTGAGCGCCCATTTTTCGTAGTGAAGGGGGCGGTTTCCCTCTTGCTTCTTCTGCAGCTGATCGTTGTACCACTCTTCGTGTAACCAGGTAATAGCGACATCAATACGCCGTCTAAAGTCCTCGAGTACGTAGGTATACAGTGAGTCTCTTATGCTGTTGCCGAGAGACGGCCCTGACACAGAACCGCTGGCCTCATCCTTAGGGCTAAACTCTTCCAAGCCGGCCGACGAGCGGCTAGCCAGACGTGTGATGACGGCAATCCAGGATTCCCGATCGTTAGTACTAGCCGCTAACCGGTTGACACCGGACTTGGACTTCTTGCCAGGCTCTTCCAGAGTTTTCACAAACTGGAACAACGACATTACGGAGCCTTGACCCGCGCTTAGCGCCAGTTCTGGCGTAAGTGCAGGGGGGGGCGGCAACTTAAATGTTCTCAGACCAAGATCGGTATCGTCTGGTCTGTTCAAGGAATCGCCATCAAGCTTGTTGAGAATCTGCTCATTGTCCTCAGCGGCAGCGAAATCGGGCTCGTAATCGTCATCCTCGTCGACGCCTAGAGGAGCAGTCTCGGGGTTGATTTGTGGTGGGGGCTGTGCGGCCAACGTGTTGAGCCGTCCCCGAATGCCCTGCAAAACGTCAGAGTAAACTCTTGCCAATGTCATTCAGAGACCTACCTCGATGGCTTTCGCGAGAAGTTGCGCGTCTGTTCGGATGAGGGTGTTGATGCTGATTCTTGCAGCCATGGCTGTCGGGAGTGTGCCCACGTCGAAGGCCTTCAGTCCTTCGCTCCCAGTGAGAGTAAAGACATCGCCTAAGCTGTGAGGACCTGGAGGTAAAGGTGTGACTTGGATCTGCGGCGTCGTTGCCATCTGAGGCGCAACCCGCTGGCGCTTGGCATCCATCCCCGCGTGCTGCTGGGCTTCAAAGGCGCGCTTGCGTCCGGACTCGTCGAAGATTTCGTGTCTCATGCGCATCATTCTCTCCACATGCTGCTGAATCCGAGGCCCCATTGGGTTGTGAGGGTCGCTGCGTTACGAGGTTAGCAGGTGAGGTGGGATTCATGGAGAAGCTCTGGGTTGTACCGTTTGGACAAATGAATCAAGAGCATACGAGTAGTCTTCTCCATGGACTTGACTATCACGCGGGTTCTAGGGGTCATGGGCGAGTTCACAAGCTTCATGGGGTTGAAGTTGAGTACGGCATTCAGGATCCTGTTGGCCGTACCCGGCCGACTGCGGATCAAGATGGACAGGCAGTTCAAAGTAGCATCAACGAGAAGAACATCACTGTCACCAGAGTGCTGTGGTTAGCTGTGATCAAACAGGCCCTCCATCGCAGTCCTTACCTGCTGTTCTCCTGCAGCACGCTCAGCATCCTGTCCAACAATCCAGCTCCTTCGGCGTCGAGAGTCCTAGCATCCAACGTCTGATGGTTTGGTGGAATCTTGTCTAGTGAGATGTCCAGGGAGTCACCACGCTGTGCAAGATGTCAGTAAGCCCCCCAAAAGGAAAACGTCCAAAGCTCGGCCTACTCTTGGTTCGTTGGGGTTAGCCGCCGATTGCGCGAGGACGACTCGTTGCGCAAACTTGATGCAGCATATCCGCACCGTTGACCCGGCTTCATCCCATATCTGAAGAATGCGCGTCTTTATCGCGACCATTCGTTCCCATGTGAGGGTGTCGTACGAGTTGTTAATGCTATCAATCTAGTCAGCCTCCCGGCCTACGCGGCCAGAGCTCTCGATCGGAAGCAGGGCATGCACACGTACATCCACCGCACCGCAAAGGGATAGATGCTGGCGGCCGTCTGAATAGCGCTGCGCAGGACGTGAGGGTCCTCGTTCGGGGTCTCGACCATGGTTTGCAGTGTGTCCAGCACGAAGAGCTGCATCGTCTCCTTTTCGCTCCCGGGCAGCGCCGGCGTCGAGAAGGCCTCGGCCAGGAAGTCGGCGCCCCATCTTCGAAGTTCGACACGCGCCGTAGGCCCGACGATGGGAAGGATGCTCTTGACAACGGTCGGGTAATACTTGACGTCGCCTAAGACGAGCTTCCTTGCATCATTGAGCTGGCGAATCTGGTCGCTCACGGATGCCTGCGGGGACGGAGCCGCCATGATCGCGGGCGAGCTCGAGGCACAAAGACGCTAAGAGTATGGGTGTGTCTGCAGAGAGAGGAACAATATGTCAAAGTTGGCTTGTGTGCGGCCGTTGCAGTTGGACGTTGGCAAGGCGAAAGGGGGAAACTGGGGATCACGAGGGTGAGAGCTGTCGCGACTTGTCGAAATATGGAGAGCTCAGGCTTTTCCAGATCACCATCCTCCAGCGCGCAGAAAACAATCAAGTCGCAATCGGGTAGGGTCGTACGATTCGTCGGCGTGAATGATGGGGAGAAATCGAAAGGACGATGGGGCGACTCTAGGCTGATTGATGGCTGCTACCTGTCGTTGCAATGGCCTCGTTTTCCCAGCTCTAGGAGTTTGACGAGTTTCCTGCCGTGTACTTTGCAAGGAGGCAGCAAGCAAGTAACCTGGCCGATGTCGAAAGACTGCGTGACGGGCTCCAGCGACGCGGGTAAACTACCTATGACGGGGCGTGTCGACCACCACTGCTGGCTGTTTTCGGTTAGCGCACCGGCAGCCCTAGAGCCTCAGCTGTTTGTGCTTGGCCGCCGCTCTAAGAAGAGAAGTTGCCTTTATATACCACCCAGAGGAAAATGGCAGGAGTAGGGAAGCAAAGGAGATGGTTATTCTTGTGGTATAAGAACCATGGATTTATCTCATGAGACAGAAGAGAAGTCGCTTGCATATGTACCTAGATAGGTAAGTAGGTGGTAGGTAGGGGAACAATGGAATTGAGGATTTTAGAGCCTGTTGCTGCAGTGCATCTACTACGAGCACAGCAGGTCAGAAAGGTACTGCGCAGTTTGCGACCACCACCACACAAAGATGACCCGGCTAGACCCTTGCCAAAGCTTATCGAGCCAATCCTACGTCACTATCGATTTTGCCGTACTTTTCCCGTCTTATCGATAATGAATCGGCGTGAAGGGAATGGCTCGGCCTGAGTTTCCTCTGATTCGATCCCCGGGCCTTTGCGACAGGCTGAGCATTGAATATTCAAGCTCTTAAAACTCCACGGCGCAACACCACGAACTGCCCCCAAGGGCCCAAATCGAAGAACCCCTCCTCCGCCCCTAATCCTTTCCCACAGGACAGCCGCCCAAATATCGTCCTTTCGCGGGGCTCCTCAGCATCGAGTCGCAATGGCCATGTACGCCACCCCGTTCCCTCCCGTCTGCGCCGGATGAGTGGTCTGACAAGTAGAGAATTACAGCCCCCAAAAGTCATCGTACTACGACCGGAACCTCCGCCAGGGTCCCGCACTGATTCGAGCCCGCAAGCCTTACCTCGTAAAGAATCTCGCTGTCGGTGCTGGGCTCTGGTGCTTTGTCGGTGCAGTGTGTACGTGATCAACCACCCCACATGCTCACCCGATGCGATGCTCGAAAAATTATGTTGGACTGACCAGCATACCCACAGACTGGTACACGATCAAGGCGGTCGGCCAGGACGAATTCGAAGACGTCAAGGTCCCCGATGCCCCGAGGCAACAGGCCAAGTCTAACTAGACAGGAGGAGTCGAGAGGATGAAAGCAGTCGTGTGAACAACCCATCGCAGGAGAGAGCTCCCAACAACACAAATGCTGGAATAACTGGGCGTGCGAATGGGCATTTGCATTGTGTAATATATACCAGCGAGTACCAACTTGCTTCCTACGCCGTTTACATCAATGTAAAATACCAAATCCTCAATCAACAACTCTGTACATGTCTCATTACAGGATTGGACCTGACCATCCCAATGCAGAAGTAGCTTCCTACACCACTCCAAACCCCAGCTTTTGATAAATCAAGGACCCATCTCGACTCCACGCGAGCCCAGAAAGCAAAGTCCGTCGTGGTGTCACGTCTGTACGCCAGTATAGATAGCTAGTAATAAGGAGAAGAAAAAAAAGGGGGTGGGGGATCGCCCTAGCCGTCGTGGGGTATCATAACAGTATACTAAGCCTCGAAAACGCCGCTGGCCGTCTGGTGATGC